TGCCATCTCCCCTGCCCTCAAAGACCCCAACCTGCTGGCCCATTTGCGTCTGGAGGGTTCAGTAAGGCCAGCGGGCCTCACGGATCCACCGCTCACCCGCCTTGTCCAGGTCGCCCCTCGCTGCCAGGTGCCACGCCGCCAGGTCTGGGAGAAGCACCTGTGACCGGGCTACCTCAGTTCGGGGTGAAGCCCAGGCCCCTCCCCTTCCCAAGCTGGGTGCAGCTGGCAGTGGGTCTGGGAAAGGAGGAGAGGCAGGGACACGAGGGGCCTGGAGGGCCGCCTGTCCAGGCGGAAGGGGCTGGGCTCGCCTAGCATCCCTGGTGGGCACAGATCGGGGGATGGGGGGCTGCCCACGGACTGAAGGCAGCAAACACAGGTGCCCAGGGCGGGCACGGAGGCAGGCATGGCTGCTTTGCGTGTGGGGAGGGACCAGAGAGGGCATGGGCCGAGGCCGCGCAGCGCAGGGCGGTAGCTGAGAGCAGAGGTTTCCCGCTGTGAGCCTCGCCCGCCGGGGCCCCCCCTCCCCGCCCCCGTCAGGCAGCCAGGGCCGGCGCCGCTGAGCTGGGCGGCTCCATCACCGCGGGCTTGCCGCTTGCAGTCTGACACTGTGCCTGGCAGGAACTGGGGCCTAGGCGGACACCGCAGGGGCCCCAGGCCTGTGAGGAGCGGAGCAGGCGGGAAGGGGCCCGGACCTGCAGAGGCCCTCGGCAGGCCGGGGCTGCAGGTCCCAGGGTCACAGCCCCCAGCGCAGGGCTCTCTCGGTGCTGCTCCACCTCAGCGGCCGGGGGTGGGGTGGGGGAGCGTGGGGAGAGAGCTCCAGAAGCCTTTCCCAGGGCTGAGCTGGGGCCCGTGCTGGGCCCTCGGGGGACCTGCGCCCACAGCTCTGCAGCCAGCTCCGGTCCCTCTGGAGGCTCTTCCCTCTGCCTGGGCATCTGATGGCGGAGGGCAAGGAGCAGTGGGGTGGCGCCCACGCTGGCCTGGGGGTGACGCGCCGACAGCAGGCCCCGCCCGTTGCTGCGGGCGGGCTGCCCCGCCGGCTGGGAAGGGCCCGACACGGTGGGCATGGGGCAGAGGTGCCCTGGCTGTGGCAGCCGGGCCACAGCAGGAGCTCCTGGCGTGGGGGCCTGACCCAGCGGGCTGGGCCTGCCTCGGGATGTGGGGACCACGGGGACAGGGGTGCGCGTGCAGAGGAGCAGGAGCAGGAGCAGGGAGGAGAGCGTGTCCTCACACCGGGTGAGGTGAGGGAAGCTTCGCCTGCCCCGCACCAACAGGCCTGGCCTGGCCGTGGGAGGGAGCAGGAGGGGAGCCCATCCCAGTGAGGAAGAGAGGGACCGCGGCAGGGCCGCACAGCGACTGGGGGTCGGGGGGACAGGGGGACGGAGAAGGTCGGCGGGTGCCCGAGCACGAGGCGGGCCCACCACCCCGCTCCCTGCACGCAGCCGGGGTGCCGAGGCGCCACGGAGCCCTGCCGTCGGGGAGGGGCACAGGAGCGCCGTCCCCACCTGACTGCAGGCCGGGGTTCGGGGAAGCTGGGGCCTGTTGGGTTAGCCAGCCCAATGGCGGGCCCTTCTTCCGTCCCCCCAAACAGGCCTCCGCCAGCCCTTGGGGCCCCCCAGTGGTCCCAGGACAGTCTGAGCCGCGACAGGCCCCGTGCCTGCCCCTTCCCCGCAGGGCCGGGGCCTCCCGCCCCACGCCCCTGCTGCGGCCCCTGGGTCCTGGCCAGCGCCAGGAGCGACGGCGTGACCTCACCTCAGGGTGAGAGGGTAGGCCCGAGCCAGCCACAGGACGGCCGCGCGACCAAGTCAGCACCGCGGGGGGCCGGCCTCCCAGGACCGGACCCGAGGCAGGGACCGTCGCTGCCACCCATTTCTGGAGGGGAGGGGAGGGGAGGAAGTGAGGGGTGACCTACAGATGGGATTTTCTTGAGAGTTACTGGACTGGGGTGTGGCAACTTCTCCTTTGCGTTTCCGGCCGCCCTCTTTTCCCGTCCAGGGACCGCAGGGCGGCAGGTCGTGGAGGAGGGCAGGGCAGGGGCGTCTCGCTGGCTTTGCGCTCTGGCATCGTGTGGCTGCCCTGCCTCCCCCGCACGCCAGCCCACTGGGGGGTCCCGCTCGGCCCTCCGTTTACACCCAGGGACACAAGGCCTGGAGGCGAAGGGCCCAGCCCTGGGGCGCAGGGCCAGCGGGCGGCAGAGCCTGGACCCGGGCCCAGGTGTCCTGACCCAGCCTGGATGCTGCAGGTGACGCCCTCACAACACGGAACGCCCAACGATTAGAAAGAGGCTGCCTCGCTGCCATCGGCGACGACCCCCGCCATCTGTTGTTAGGTTTGTGGGGTCTTGGCCAGATGGAGCTTTGGGGACTGTCCAGTGGGTACCCGGTTCAGATCCTGGCTCCTCCGGTCACTAGGAGGGAGGCTACCAGGTGCTTCACTGCCTGTCATGCCTCAGTTGTCCCCTCTGTGAAACGGGTACGAGCACCACCTTGAGGCTTGTCAGTTCACACCGCGTAACACCTGCCGACGGTGGGTCCGCGCTGGCTGGGGCTGCCACCAACGCAGGCGGCACCGGCACCACCCAGACGGTAGGTGCTGCTGTCACTGCTGGTCCTTGCGGTTCGGTCGAGTGAGGCAATGGCCCCTGAACGTGTCACCAGCTGCCCACCCCAGCGATGCAAGGCCAGCGCAGGCTGCAGACGCCCAGCCCCGCGTCTGGGCTCGCAGCTGCACCGCGCCCAGTGTGTGAGGCCCCCCGTGGCTGCTTTCCAGAGACCGGGGCAGGGCCCTCCTTCCCGTTCCTGGGCGGCAGCACAGGCACAGGCCTCCCAGGCACTGTCCCAGACGCCGAGCCCGCACACCCAGAGCCTGTGGGGTGGCAGCTGCAGGGACGGCGGCCGCAGCATGGCCGCAGCACGGGCGCCCACAGCGGCGGGCCGAGCACTGTAGACACTTCATGTGAACAGAGGCCTCTACACCCCAGGGTGGTTGAGAAAGCACTCAGCTGTGACGTGAGCAACCCTGGGGACAGTGAGAGGCCAGGCCCGGGCCCGGACGGCTAACAGGCACGGGGCGCCCGCCTCACTCTTGCAGGTGTGGGCGCAAGTGAAGCAGCTGTGCTGACGGAGCTTCAAGAACCTCAGCGCGAGGGGACCCGTGCCAGCGAGGCCACCAGGCACACAGCCGAGCAGCGAGGCAAGCCCGCAGGAAAGGCACCTCCCGCCGATGATGGCCGCACCTGTGCAGGGGCCGCCTTGCAGGGGGGCCGCACTCTAGTCCTGCCTCAAGTGCCTCCTCCTCACCTGCCCGGGCCCAGCGGCCACGTGAGTCGCTCATGCCAGGAAGACGGGCTTTGGAATGACGCCCACGACAGCTCGGTCAGAAGCTTGTGGAGGGTGGAAGGCACCAGGTGCCGCTTTAAGTCCTTGCCTTAAGGACTGAACTGTGACTTACCCGAGGTCACAAGGCCAACAAGCCGTTGGGCCCGGGGTTCCACGCTGCAAGAGCCCAATACGGCTGTCCCTTCAGATCGGGGTGGCTAAGGGCTTTAGGAAGACGGTGTTGGTGGCTGGCCAGCGGGCTGGGGAAATGAGGCGAATCCTTAGGCCTCTCTCCTTATATATAACACACATGCTCCAAAGATAAACTCTACATAAAGCACAGGGGTTCTAGAAAAACCCGGGAAGACATTTTTATACTTTTAAAATGGAGAAAGCCTCAAAAACGTGCCTACAGGTTCCAGAAACCACAGGTTACAAAGTGGATGGAATGCAATTCATTACCTCCTTCTGATTAGAACCCACCTGTCTTCTGCCCAGATAAAAAGCAAGTGCTGACCCGAAAACCAGCCCCCGCTTCACGCCAGCAAAGCTATCAGCAGCTGATGGACATGAGAGGAGGGGAGTCCAGCTCCACGCACGGGCCCTGGCGACCTCCTGTTCTGTAGGATGTTGGCACCGTCGGCACACGCAGTGGCGGGTCCCCCGAGGGCTCGGATTCCCCTTGGGAGCCGCTGTGCAGGGAGGCCCCAGAAACGCAGCTCCGCACCCTGGCGAAGCCATGCAGGCCCGTGGAGGAGAAGGTCCATGCCGGGCTGCGGACACTGTGCAGGTCCGGAGTGACTGACATGAGGAGACGTCCGAGTAAGGACCGGCCTCTGAAGCCACAGGAGAGCGGTTACAGCACAGCCCTTCCGTGACCTCCTCTCTCCCTCTGTGTGTACATTCATATGTGCATCTGGCTGCCAAGAACAGTTCTGCACCCACGTCAGAAGCTGCCGCCTCAGGGTGATGGAAGTACAGACGGCTCTTCCTCTGTACTTCTTTAAAAATGCACTGGTTTCTTTTTTACAACGAACGTTATGTTCACATATATAGTATTCACAGATAGTCTTTTTTCAGAACAAAAAGGCTAAGCTTTGTCTACCACCTAGGGACAGAAGCACTGTGTTCTTTGCAGGACCGAGGGAGCAGTCGGGAGCAGGGAGGGAGGAGCCCCACCGCCCCCAGCCCCCCCCCAGCGCCCCCCGCCCCAGCCCAGCAGTACCAGCCCCAGCGAGCCACCGGCAGGGGGCGGGCCTTCCCTTGGAACACGTGACCTGGCACTTGCTCTCTTCCTCCATGCCCATAATTAAGAAGCTGGTGGTGATCTGTGCTATGACAAAGAAAGACAGCCAACTGTTTTTTAAACTTTTATTTTGGTGTTAACTCCACAAGAAAACAAAAAATCAGTTATTCCGGTGCACGTGAAATCAGAGCAATACAACCACGGGAGAGACCTCAGCCCGGGAATGGAAACGACACTTCAGTGCTACGGGTCTGCAGCGCGCCTCATGCCGCCGTGCGTCTCCACGTTTTGCCAACTTTTTGAAAAATGCTTTATCTTTGTGATCATCCATTCACAAAACTAAAAACCACACTTTCAACTCAGTTGCTGAAAGCCTCTGAGCTTCAGCCACTTAGCTACGAAAACAAATAAATACGTAATCTGTTAACCCCCTCGCCCCTGTACCCCCCGCCCCATTCCCCGCAGAAGGTGCAGGCAGCCTCTGGCAGCGCGGAAGGACGCCTGCACCCCCACCACCTGCCACCCTCTCTGTCCAAGGTCAGCTGAGCTCAAGGTGGTGTCTGAAATCTACTGATTTGGTCTCTGCTACACAAGCAACAGTTTCTAGGACAATCGTCATTGTAGTGATTTTAAGAATTTACAACATCCAATTCTTTTTTGCCTTTGCTGTTAAATTGTATTTCAGTGCAGATGCTAATGAATTTTTAGGAAGCTCTGGAAGAAAGAAAATACATAAAACCTTATAAAATCTGTAAATAAATAACAGCAACATAAAATCTTGCACACGCGCACGCGCACACACACACCCACTTTAAAGCGTCAGAGGACGTGCTGTGTGAGAGCAAGCCCTGGCGTGCGGCGCGGTCGCGCCCAGCGCTCCCTCGGGTTTCTCAGTGAGGGCGCAGGGAGCTGGGGCGACTCCACAGCCTTCGAGGGAGTTTTCTGTGTCATCAACTGAGGAAAAGGCAACCAAACCCAAAGCTCACAGTGAGGCATGTATTTCTCGGCCAATTCCACTCCCAGCTGGTGAACCATCACGTGGGGACTGCCTGCCAAATCAGTGGCGAAGCTGTCTTGTTCTCCTCAGACTTTTCTGCCGTTCCTCACGTTACAGACATGCGAAACTGATTTCACACGTTAGGTTTTTTTTTGTTTTTTGTTTTTGTTGTTTTTTTTTGTTTGTTTGTTGGTTTTTAATGAGTTGGTTAAAAAAGAAAAGCAATTCAAAACGTTCAGGTTTTGCAAACATTACTCCTCCCAACTTCCGCCTGTGGCACAGCAGTGAGAAGCTCGAGGAGGTGGCCGCGTGAGCGACAGGACTTGCACTGACCCCGGGCTCCGCCAGGAGGGGACACGAGCCCCAGGGGGCAATCGCTCGCGTGTGGGAGAAACCGATCCTCCACCCGCCCCCAGCCCAGCACACACAGAACTCAGCCAGCACATTCTCGCAAACACAAAGGAGATCTAACTACACTACATCACAGCCGCGAGAGGTGCCCGCTGCAGCAGCCAAGGACGCTTTCGGGTGACAGGGTGGCCTTCACTGCATGTCGCACGTTAGGATTTTGAGTCCTAGAGGTTTCAGCTAATGCAGGTTCTGAGGAAATCACAATTTGCAGCTGAGAGCCTCACCGAGTACAGCGAGCGCGCCAAGAGTACCTGGCAGGTGCCCCGGTGCACCAACAACGGCAGCACCGAGCAGGCCGGGCTTGCCCTCTGACCTCGCGGCGCCTCAGGAACCACCCCACACCCCACACCCGGGGCTTCTCCAGTTAGCAATAAAGTCACAACCACAGTTTCTTCCGTGATACTCTAGGGGGGAATCCTACGAGAGAAAACACAGCATTTTGTAAGTCTCTGAAAGCGCGCCCTGGTGGTCGCTACTTCCGATGTGCATGAGATCTTAGGGAATGGGGACCGCGGCGGCATCGCCCACGCCTCCCTCTCGCCTTCGGGAAGGCGCTGACCCGCTGTGGGGACGTGTTTCTGTCCCGGTGCTTAGAGGACAAAGCCTACATGTCCCAAGCTCAAGTCTCTGGAGAGCAGGGGGCATCGCGGGCGCCGCGGTGCCAAGGTGGTGGCAGGGACCTGCCCACAGTCCACAGGGCGTGGCCGCAGGCGGGATGCAAGGAGCAGTGGTACTTCTGAGACAAGCACATGCACACCCATTCTTGATTTGACAACACAATCTAGTCTATTTCAAATAGCCAAGAATTTAACAGCTTGGAAAAAAAATCTTCAACAGGCTAGCTGTTTTCAACTCTAAAATAAGCAAGAAGAGAAAGATAATTACTGATCTGACTCAGTTAACTGAGAAGAAACCTAAGTTGTTGTTTCAGATTAACAGGCCTCACAAAAGGGCGATTTCCATCCCGTTTCGTTTTTAAAGAACACCGCGTCCTACTCTGCAGGGTCAGAGATGAGTTCGAGAAAACAGCTCCTCGTCGCCGGGGTCCGCCCACTCGCCCGCGCCGGCCGAGCCCGTGGCCCCGGAGCCGGCGCCGGCGCTGGAGGACCGCTTCCTGCCGGGGCCCTCGGCCTCCGCTCCGGAGTCGCCCTCCGCTGCACACCTTGCTTCATAAACAGAAGACACCTAAGATGAAAGGAACACGTTTCAACACATCAAAAAAGCCAGACTTTTTCAAAAGGGCTACGTGACTACATACAAACCACGGATGTTTTCCTGTGGAGAGTTAAAAACCATAAAGAGTTTTGCTGTTAAACTGTCTCAAAGCAAATCAGCCTCCCCGCCCTGACCCAGAGGCGGGTGCCGGGCTGGACACGGGGACGCCACGCCGGGCCGCGCTCTCCCGGGGCTCCCATTCCTCGGCGGAGACCGCCAACCCAGCCAGCCGAAGCACACCGCCGGAGAGCGGGCCACTTCGGACCGGGGTCCGGGAGGGCGGGTCTTCCAGGAGCGGCGTCCCCACTGAGGCTGAGCAGGGAGCCGAGCCAAGTCACAGCCAGAGCCTGCCTGGGACCTGGGGGCTGTGCTTCTGAACGGGGGTCCGGTCAGTATCTGGCACTTTTAAGAGAAAACTCTGCGGTGTGGGACGGTCTCCCACCCCCCGTGTGGTCGCATCTCTGCCCCTGGGGCCCGAGTGCAAGCGGTGGCCCGCCCATCACAGCACCCAGCACGCTGCCCCCCATCACAGTAGATCGCCACCGCCGCCCTTCGCCCACAGGAGCTGTAAGGCCCCGCCCCCCAGAGCGTTAGCAGCGCCCCCCAGTCACAGCGACTGGCCACACACTCCACCCATCACAGCGACTAGTGACGCCCCGTCACAGGAACCAGCGAAGCCCCGCGGTCACAGGAACGAGCAGCACGCCCTCTCCAAGGGCAGCTCTGTCCCTGTTCAGAGCCCCTGAGGCAGCAGCACCGTGAGACGGCCACACTGAAGGAGGGGAGGCGGACGTGGGATGGGGGGGGGCCGGCGGGCACCAGCCGCACAGGGCCTCCCCCAGGGGCGTGGCGGGGAGGCGGGGTCTCGGCTCAGAAGGCAGCGGATGCCGGCTGGACGGTGGTCCTGAGTCCCGGCGGAGGCCCCGCCCGGGTCTGCACTGGGCCCGGGGCCGAGGACCCAGACTCCCTGGGCCTCGGTGTCCTCCCTGGCACCCGGCAGGCCCGTCACCGTGCCCGGGGCTTGCAGGGGGCCCTAAAAGGGGCAGTCAGACCTGCGTGGCCAGCTGCCCTGCCGCGTGGGGAAGAGGAAGAGCAAGGAAAAGCCCTGCCGCCGGGAGGGGGCACAAGAAGGTGGGACGGCTGAGGCAGGCGGCCAGGGCCGGCCCGAGGCCGCGTGGGGGGCAATGGGACGAGCAGCGGCACTGCGGGGCGCGCGGGAGACCACCCTCGCGGCCCCTGACCACACTGACGGTCCCACTGGGAAGAGAGAGAGGTGCCCTCCGGCTCACCCGCCTGCCTGCCTGCGCCAGGGCTCCCAGGCGGCGGCGGGGCGGCTCGCAGTCGGGCGCTGCGGCGGCTGTGTCCCCGGAGGGCACCGGCAGGGCTCCCGGGCTGGTGTGGGGGAGGGGAGGGGTGCCCGCCACGGGTCCTAAGGGCAGTGACAGGCCCCATTCGGAGGGAGACACCCCCGGGGCAGCCGTCAGTGCGAGGGACGGGTGGGGGGTGGGAAGAGAGGACTCACGAAGCCCAAGCGGCTGCGGTGGGAGGCGACACAGACCAAGCGAAGGGCCGCAGAGTTGAGAGGTCACATCCCCAAAGCGTGGCGACTGACTCAGGAGGGCGGGGGAGGGGGCAGCCCACAGGACTCCAGGGTTTCAGCTTGAGTTGCAGGGGGAGGGGCAGTGGCCATTCGTAAGTTAACGATAAGGAGCAGGACAGTCCACTTACCCTATTAAAATCTAACAGACGCTCTTCATTACTGGGGATTTCTTTAGCATCTGGACATTCTTCTATCCCATTCTCTCCCTTGGCATTTGTATAACATTCTTAATCATTTTGAATGGAGGGAAAAAAGGGAAAGGGGAAAGTCCATTAAGACACAGTCATGAAACAGGCGCTCTTGCCCCAGTTTCTGCTGCGAGTCGCACCGGCCGGGGCCCCAACCCTCGGGGAGCACAAGGGGCCCCTGGGAGCCGCCGGGGGGTGTGGAAAGTGCTGGCCCATTCGAGCGCTCTTTTAACAGACCGAGGTTTTTAAAACACCAGGCCAGCGTGACCGCAGACCCGTTGCCCCTCCACGACACAGTCGTGCAACAAACGCAAACAGCCACATCTTGCGTCGCTGCCTTCCACAGATTTACTTAAAAAAAAAACATTGGAGGCAAAACCCTCCACCAGCAAAAAGATTATGGCTCACTTTCCTGTGCACCCGCAACACCTTCGCGGCACATCTGGACCCACCCCCACAGCGTGACAGCCCTCAGAGCGCGCGCTGTAAGGAGGGGACAGGCGACAGACCACAGGTGTGTTCAGGTAATGAATGAATGAAGGGACTGGGACAGGGACTCAGCGGTGAGAGGACAAGGCAATGCGGCATCCCTGTCTGACCCTCCACACCCCAGCGGCGCACGGAGCCACGTCTTCTTTCCCCTGTGGACTAGGGACGGCGTGAGGCCAGCGGCCGGACAGGGTCAGCAGCCGGACAGGGTCGGCGGCCCCCAGACGGGGACGGGCGGGGAACGGTAAGCTGAAACTAGAAGGAACCAACTCTCGTATCCGACAGCCCTCACCCCGGGCGGTGCCTCCACACCCCCTTCAGGAGCCCGAAGGGGCGCCCACATGCCCCCACGCCCGGACACCCGCCCGCAATTCTAACTGAGCCGGCTGAGGCCTCGGCCCTTCCTGAAAAGCCCCGGGTGGCTCGGACACGCAGCCAGGGCTGAGCGCCATGGCCCCCACCTGGCCCGGCGGCTCCCTCCCCGACCCCAAGGGAAAGGCAGCCGGTGCAGAGGTGCGGCGGGGTGGGTGGGCCTGGCCAGCCTGGGCTGCATGTCATCCGTCTCCTAGGCGACCGATCTAATGGTGTGCTACCCCCTGTAAAACAGAGGACAGGGCCGGCGCTCAATGGCTGCTGTGCCCGCCAGCGGGGGGGCGGGTACTGTGCCAAAGGGAAGGCCACCCGGGTCCTGATGGGCCTCTCACCGAGGCCGCGCTGGCCACTCTGTGCCCGCCAAAACCTGCAGTTCTCTCTGACGGTTTCAGGTGCTTGGTGACCAGTTTAGGTTCCTGAAGAACCGGCACAGACAGACATGGACAGACAGACGTCCGTTGATTCCTGGTTACGCTACTTGGGAGGTAGCGGGGCAAACTGACCATGCCCCTCTGCGCCCCAGGCCCCTCATCTCCAACATGCATCACCACGCGCCCTTGCCAGCTCCCGTGCATGTTTGGGGATCGTGTGTGTGCGGCCCCGGGGCAGTGCCAGCACGTCCGGCAGCACCTGCCACAAGTGCTAAGGCCAAGGCCCGGCGCAGGGGCTGGCTTCTTAGCACAACCCCACACCCTGATGGGGCAGGAGACCCCGCTCACCCACTCTGGGCGGCCACCTTTTCCTCAGCTGGCCCGACCCAGCCCCCGCTGCCCACTCCCCACCCCACGGGGTGAGCATTTACCCCGGGTGAGGGGCGGGGGGGGGGTTCCCCTGACTAGGCTACAGGAGGAGCCGAATCCATGCTGCCCGTGACCCCGCATTTCCTCTTGCAGCTTAGGAATTATCTGTACCAGAGGGGGCTGTGGTGCCTCAGGCCGCAGGACCCTGTACATCGCTGTCAGCGTACCCGGGACCCGTACGGTGACAGCTGCTGTGTCCAGGCCAGGGTCTGGCCCAGGCTTCTCCAGGAACTTCGCTGCTCACATCGGCCTCCAGGGGCTTAGCTTTAGCCTTTTACAAACACAGTCCGTGGGGCGCAGAAAGGTCCACCTGTTGCCTGCGGTCCAGCAGCTGGTAGCAGGCCTGGGTGCCAACCTAGCTCTGTCTCCGGGGCCCTTCGCTGTTGTCTATGCTGTCTTCTTCCTACAGGGCTCTCCCTTTAAAACGAAAATCGCGCACACTTCCCGCGAGGTCAGCACCAAGGGCGCGAGCTCTGCAGAGCGCCACCCAGGCAGCTGCGCCCTCACTGCCTGCGGAGCCCAGCGCTCCCTCCACCCTGCAGCGTTCCCCGCGACAGGCCCGCTGGGCTCAGCGAGCGCGCTCTTACCCCAGCCAGCGCTCTTGCCCGGCCCCTCTGGCAGGTGGCAGCCGCTGCCACAGGGCTTGCGTCCTCCTTCCCTCGGGCCTTGCCTACTGTCAGCTTTTCAGGGGGCAGGGCGCAGTCTGTCTGCCTCGGCGCCCCCGGGACCTAGGACAGTGCCTGGCGTGGGAAGGCGTGCATGAGGCGTTTGCCCAGCGGATCCGGACAGATGCGCACAGCGAGGCTGCCAGACAGCAGGTGTGCGTGAGCTGGGCCCATGCGCTGCTCACACACCTGGACACGCTGCCTGCCTGCAGTGCCCGCCGCCTGCCTGCAGTGCCCCCTCCGCTGCCTGGAGCTCCCGGGGCAGCCCCTGACTCCGGGCGGCACGTGCGTGCTGTCAGCCATTAGCGACATCAGAGAGCTCGGGGGTCGAGATGAGGTGGCTGGGTGAGAGGCTGCCCACCCCCCCGGCCGGCCTCCAGGAGCTGCAGGCCCTGTGCCCCAGGAGGGAGGCACGAGGCTTCATGCACACATGAGTCCAAGGCTGTTCAAAAGCCCGGTTGCCGTTCCTTATCCACTGCGAGTCCCTCTGTGTGCCTCTCACAGTAAAAAAACCCTGTGTTCCTGCCACCGTCCACAGCACCTGGCGAGGGACCGTTCAGAGACCGAGAACCTAGAGCCCAGAGCGGGCACCGGGCTCCCTCCTGACGGTGGGCACGGGGCCAGGGCTGCCGGGAGAGCCCGGGACACTCCGACAGCGCGAGAAGCCCGGCAACCCGCACCGCGCAGGGCCCGGACTACACGTGGGTCACGGTAGCGTGTGCTCCCACCAGCGGGCACGTCCCTGGGCAACGGGCGCAGACAGCTGCCGGCGGCGGCGAAGCTTCCAACCGCACGTGACAGTCGCACTCAGGCGCAGTACCAGCTAAGGCATGGTTTTGGGCAAGCTGCTCACTCTGAGAATTGCTTCCCTGCCTAAAATCTAGGGGTGACGCTGCACAAGGCTTTTGAAGGAGTTATGTAACAAAATAACATTGAGGACACCTTGTAAATAATGAAAGGCTAATGGTGAAGCAACAGGCCTTCGCTAAGTACTATTAAACAAAGACGCCAGCAATGAAGGCCCGCTCTGTGCTCCCCTCGGGGCCCAGCAAACCTCTGTGAAGGGGGAGGCAGGGCTTGGGAAGCCGAGTGTGCGCCCACAGAATGGAGGGAAGCAGCCGCCAGCCTCCTCCGCAGCTGAGGCCAGGCTGCGCAGCAAGGCCAGTGGGGCGCCCGCGCGCTGGACCAGCGAGGCATCCCAGGCGGGGGGACGGCGTTGTGTCCATGTTAGTTACACAGGAGCTGGGGAGACGGGACACGTGAGCACGTAAACACTAGCAACGAGGCACATGCCCGCAGGGCTGACAGGAGAGCCTGGGAACCGACGCGAAGCCCGGAGGCCGTGGCACCCAGACGAGCTCCGCGGCCCGCTCCAACCGCTTTCGGCTTCCTCCTAGACCCCCACTTTTCCTGGGTTTTCTGATCGAGACAGTTCGTAGCTTCTGGGTTGGCCTACCTGGAGGGCTCCCAGATGAAAAGCACAGTCACGACAGCCCTGGGGCCCCTCTGCCTCTCTAGCTGGTCTCCCCCGGCTCCTTCTCGCTGCTCGCGCCTCACAGAACATCACCAACAGGCTCCGGCACCCTCTACGAAACCGCTGAGGCTGTGGCCCCTCTGCCACTAGCGGCCGAGTGCAGGCCTCCGTCCTCCCACTCCCAGGCTCTGCGAGAGCCCACGGGCCCCGCAGGCGCCCTTCCGCCTTCCCGGCCATCTCCGCGCTGTCATCAGGACCGTGTGAGAGCACAGCCCTGGCCCCTCCACCGGACGCCCTCTGCAGGTACTCCCGCCCTGCGCGTCCACTCTCCCTGCCTGAGCAGGGCTCCCAGGCCTCCTGACGGGCTCCGCCTTCCTGGCCGCAGTGACAGTCCAGCGGGGCCCCGTGGGTCCCCAGGCTCCTGACTTGCCACAGACCCTCTGGCCTCCGGGTGGCCTGTCCTATCCCCGGCCTGGCCCCTGCAGCTTCCCCCTGGGTCTTTCCGAGGCCTCCACGCTGACAGCTCCCCCGGGGCGGCTTCCTGGGCGCTGGCGCAGCCTTGTCAGGGCGTTGGGGGTCGGCGCCGCAGGCGTGCACCTCCGTCTTCCCGGTTGGGCCGCAGCAGTTTAGAAGCAGGGACCAGCTGCCTTCACCTCTGCGTCTCCAGTGCCTGACAAACGCCGGCCACACTGAACCTCCTAGTAAATGTTTTTTTTGGACTGATACTCATAGCAAAAGAATCTACCGCTCTTGCCCTGGCCGGTGTGGCTCAGTTGGTTGGAGGGCTGTCCTGTAAACTAAAAGTTTGCAGGCTCGGTCCCCATACACGGCACGCACAGGAGATTAAGTGACTGTTGTTTCACATCAGTGTTTTTCTCCCTCTCTCCCCCTCCCTCCCTTCCCCTCTCTTTAAAATCAATAATTATGTCCTCAGGTGAGGTTAAAAAAAAAAAAGCATCTACTGATCTTAATGGATTACAAATCTGAACGAAAGACGGGAGTTCAGGTCTCCTTACCTTCACACTCTGATGCAGGAAAAAGAGGCGAGTACAAGGCTTTTTCCCACCAGGTTTGCTTTTCTTGACTTCTATTCACTCCTTGTACATTGGTGTTCAATACGGGAAACTGTTCAGATTAAACCAGATACAGAAAAAGTTAACGCACTTCCAGGATCAAGGAAAAACTCAGGCATTAACTATGGACAACCAACCCAGGATTTTTAAATTGATGTGTTTTTTTTGTTTTATTGTTCTAGACAAGCTGAATTTAAAAAACCGAAGTGTTTGTAGCATATAAAGGGAGTTTTTCTTAAGAAGCATTTATAGTGGAAGTAGAATTATAATTTTTCTGAAAAAACTCACAAACCACCACAGCAGAACTCTTACAAGGCAAAACTTACACCAGGAACTACCCCCAGTAAGGCAGATTTCTAGCCTGTGGGGGTGCAGGGACACGGTGCTCTAGGGAAAACAGGGAGGGTATTGACCAGGCTCAAGGGGGCCAAGAAAGAAGAAACGGGACCAAAGTAGGTGTTACAGGCAGGTGTTAGCCCAATGTGCTCATGATGGAGCCATCTGCCTCCGTGAGAGCCAGCGGGCAGCTCCGTGTAAAACCCAGTGACACACAGTGCCGGGAGCAGGCCAGACGTAAGCCAGGGCACGCGCCCGGCACCCACCGCCTGTCCCCGGCCCTGGCAGGGGCCCCCAACTCTGGATGCAGGCTGTCTACTTTCGCCAGGACACTCCCCAGTCTGAGCCAGACCCTGCCCACCTGCCCAGGCAGTGGGGCCTGGGCGCCGTGAGAGCAGCCCTCAGGGACGAAGGAGTGGCAATCGGGGGCCCCGCGGCCAGCGGCGGCCACCGCAGCCTGCTGGTGCCGTGTGCCGGCGGGAGGGGGGGCGGGGGGGGCGGCGGTCTCCGTGCCTCTGCGCCCACAGCCCCGCGCGTCCTCACAGGCGTCTGCTCCGCAGGCAGGCCGGGCGTGCCGTGCACATCTCTGCCCAGAAGGCGCTTCTTTGTGTTCATTAAAATCCAAGCTGTTTTAGCAACTCATAATCATCAATTCTCTACCAGGATTTTGTTACTCTCTTAAAGTATTTTATGGGTCTAAAACTCTATAATTCAGCAATTGTGTGTTTTTTTTATTACTGAACTACATGGAAAACACACTTCAAAGTTTCATTTTCACTTAACACAATTTTTCAGAAATACTCCGAGATCAGGAATGGAAAGGGAGCTGTACTGCCCGCCCAGACGGCCGGTGGCCGTCCCTGTTTCCTCTTGCAGCTCATTCTGACCATGGGAATTGGCACTGTGACCAGCTACACAGACACCAAGGCCGACAGGACCAACGAGGCCAGGCCAAGTGCGAGCACGGCCAGCCGCACACCAGGTCTGTGGGTGGCTCGCCGTGACCAGTCGCACCTGCTCTGTAGTTCCCGGTGCCCCAAGACCTTTCCAGAAAGACCTCGCCTTCCCTCCAAGGCACACCTGGTCTGCGAGATTACTTAGGGAGCGTCCGGGGTTGTGTGAGCCACCCACACGGCTTATCTTTGAATCCTTCCCTGTGGCCGTGGAGCAGGGGAGGATGGGACCAGGTCAGGGATGCGCCTGGAGGGGGTCAAGGCAGCAGGAGGGGGCCAGTCCACACTGTGGAAGAGGAGGCTGGGTTTGCGCGGAGCCGCACCCTCACCCTCTGGAGGGTGGGGCCCGGCTCTTCAGCTCTGGACCCCCAGGCGCAGCGTCTGGCACAGCGGCTGCTCAGCACTCAGGCCTGAGGGAACGACCCCACCCAGCCTCAGGTCCCCACTCCCTCGCCTGCCGTGACCGTGACCGCTGTGCAGATCCCCAGTTTCTGCCACACTTGGAAGAATTTTTTCTGCATCCTCCATGTGAGTGTCAATTCCAACAGCAAAGACTGTTCTGTTTCATGCTACACCAAACACGTATTCCATGTAGAGGCATTATTTTTTATGCTCCTTTTGTCTCCTTATTGTTAAAATATAGTTAAAATACAACATTAAATTTGTCTCAGATACACAGCACAGCTCAGCATTTGCAAACCTAAGGAAGTGACCACCACAGCAAGCCTAGCGACCACCTGACGCTGTCAAGCTCATCGCAGTGTTGGGTCTATCACCTCTGCCGCAGGAATCTGCACTATCCTGTGATGTCTTTCCACTTAGCTATTTCCACCTTTTAGGCTGCACAGTAAAGGTGACCATGCTTTGCGTGAATGTCTTTTTACTGTATTCATTCAACTTCTGGTGTGGTTGAGAATGAAAAGAACGAAGAATGCAGGAAAAAACCGGCAGAACACAACCATAGGGGCGCCAGGCACACCCCGCCTGAGGCCCTCTCTGCTGCCCCCTGCAGATGCCTCCTGGCCCCCTCCTCACCTGCCTGCCCCCCTGGGGCTGCGCCTGCCCAGGACGCCTGCTCTCACCCTCGCTGCACTTTGGTCACCGGTCGCCGCGCTTTGGCGGCAGGTCCCCCACGGCACCCTCGCCCTGCCCTGCTCCGCCCTTCCCCCAGCACAGGCCCTCAGAGACCACAGCACTTCCTGCTCCCTGAGCCCAACCCCACAAACGCACCGCCTTTGCTCTAGAACAGTGCCCGGACACAGAGGCTCGTAATCAATGTTTGATGAATGAATGAAACGGCGCGGGGGGGGGGGGGGGGGGAGACGTAGCCTTAACCCAGAAAGCCTGGCCGGAAGTGTTTTTAGCAACGGATGTCAAGCTCAGTAATTCTTTAGAAGACGGAAGTTGGGCAAAGGCCCCCGCCTGCAATCCCCACTCCGCAGCCTCCTCCATGGAGGGGCCGGCGGGGCCTCTGGGCGACGCGTTCTGGGACGGACTTTCCCACAGTCAGCTCTCAATTTCTGGGCCACAAAAGGAAGAGAAGGACTTCCGTGAGCCTTGTTCTTTGGCAGGAAAGGAAGGAAACGTACGTGGAGAGCCAAGGGGAGCCACAGAGAGCCACGGGGAGCCACGGAGAGCCAACAAGAGCCCAACACTGGCTGTGTTAAGTTTCCTTTACTGACGGGAAGTGCAAAACAGCGCAAGGAACTCTGGCTCTGACCCTTAGTCTGGGATCTGGGGCAGGTGCTCCACCCTCTGGACCTAAGGCCCTCAGCGGCCAGGGAGGAACCTGCTGCAGGTGGTTTCGGATGGCCCACTCCCTCCGCTCACTAGAACCCTCTGCCTCGGCCGGGTGCCTCGGCCGGACGCCGCGGCCTCTGCTCCCGAGCCACACACTCCTGCAGGCGGGACCGCGCCTCTGCTGCGGCTCCGCGTTTCCAAGGGCCAGGCACTGCGCCAGCAGTGAGGCCCGTGGCAGCGCGCTTTCACCGTGAACCACGCCCAGAGGGAACCTGAGGCGCACTCTGCAGAAGCCACGAGCGACTGCCGGCAGCGGCCCGCACACGTGAGGAGCTAGTTCCAAGCCTTTCTGCCTTTGCTGACACTGCTCCTTCTGCCGAGTGTACTCCGCCTGCTTCTGCCCCTGAATCCACAGGTGCATCCCAAAGGCCCTCCTTAACTCTCTCGGGCTTGGAGGGCTCGCCTCCAGGCCCCGCGGCCCCCCTGTGCCACGCCACCTACCATGCGGCCTACGGTCCCCTACGGGACAAGGAGCTGGCCGGGTGAATCACGGTACATCCATACAACAGAGCAGTGTGTGGAAAATAACAAAAGGTGATTATGATAAAGTACCATTTTGGTAAAAAGAAGATAACAGGAGGAAGTAGATGTGAACGTAGCTTTGCCTACACTCTCAGGAAATGCCCTCGAAGGACCACCAGCGCGCACGCCCACGGCCGCGGCCAGGGACCCGCTTTGCGGGAAGCCTGCACTTCTAGCCCGCCCGCCCTGACAGAGGGGGGCAACCTGTCCCCCTGGGAGCCTTTTGGAACGGGGCTCCCAGGCCACCCTTGCTCAGGAAAGGGGGGAAGGCCCTGCAGGAGCCCCCAGGCTGACCAGGCAGCGTGAGGGAGCGGGGAGGCGCGGGTCCTGGTCCCAGCCTGACCTCGCTGTCTCTCCCGGCCACTCTCTCCACCTCCGCACACCTCACGGATCACTCCAGTGAGCTCGGACCTGGCTCTGAGCTGGGGTGGCGCCGTGGAGAGACAAGGGCGGGCAGCACCCACGACGTCTGGGCCACCAGGCAACCCCACAGCGCCCGCTGCGGACACCGCTGGCGCGGAACCCTTCCAGGCAACCCCACATTCTGAGAGCACGTAAAGGCAGCAACATACTAGAAAGCAGAGGAATATGGCAGTAGCACGGTGTGGGGTCACGCTCCTTCCCTCTTTTTCTTTCTTCCCAATCTGGAACCAGGTGAGATACAAAGTACATGAGGGAATATTAAAGGATGAAAGCAGGGCAATAGACAAACAGATAAAGGCTGGCAACATTGTTTTTTGTTCTCAGCAAGTTACGAACTCAGTGTTTCAATGAGATTCAGTGTCCATCTCTCTAAGGGCCTCCAGGTGAGCTACGAGTACAGTCTCTCTGCATCCGCGCGCCCGGGGCCCCGACTCCAACTGAGGAAGGCGTGGCCCATCTCCATAAGGAGCTTATACTCTAATGAAAGTACATACATGATTCATGAAAAATGAAAAAATCAATAAAAAAAGGCATGAAATGCATAAAAAAGAGAGGGGAGAAGCCATTTCCAAGGGGGGACGGAGCAGGGACAGGAGGGGCGCAGGGCCACGCCAGGGAAGGACGTGGGACCTGGGGAAGACGCGGGAGCTGGGGGGCCCCCAGCGTCGGCCCCGGCCAGGGTTGGACGGGCCAGAGGTGGGTGGCGTGTGCAGGACGGGGAGGAGGGCGACTCGCACAGGCCGCGGGCGCCGTGCCCTGTAACCCCGTCCAGCGGTCTGCAACACGCTGTCCCTGGGGAAGGGCCAGGCGCCGCTCCATCAGTGGCGGCTCGCGGCGGGCAGGCCACTCCACTTTACTGTGCCACAGGCCACCGCCTTAAGGGTTCTCACACAGTCAATCTAACCTCACACCGCCTCTTAGGAACAGCCAAAGGACACGATGACCCCATTAACAAAACCATTCCTCTTATTTGTCACACTGAACGGGTCATTCAGGAGGATGCGCGCTGCGTGACCGAGGTACAGCTGCGGAGGTTCTGTGGAAGCTGCTGGCTCCGCCTGGAAGGCGGGGTCCCGCTGACACGCACACCGTGCCTCCCACAGAGCTCTGCGCAGGTGTGATGATTTCAGGGTCAGGTGGGCCGCTGCAGCTGCTGAAGAACAGAGGGCTTTTGAAGAGTAAAGAGCCACCTTCTGACCCATCAACTTTGAAAGCTGTAATGCTGCTATGTTAGGTTTTGCTCTACGCGTAAGACGGGCATATTAAGACAACACATAAGAATCTTATATCCTGTGATTTATGTAAAAATGTCTTTCCTCTGCAGAAAATGTCTACCGTCTAGTTCAAATTTATAAATATCAAGTCGATTTTAAGTCCTTAGGTAAAATCCTAAGAACAACAGATTTTGAGACGGTTAAGCTCATTTCTCAACAGCAAAACCCCGTCTTTCCCCCCTTCACGTGGCTGCTCTCAGTTTAAAGCCTGAGCAGATCCTTCTGCCAAACACCAGCGCCCACAGGCACGTACCTCCTCCAGTGGCCCAGAGGAAACCGGGTCATCTTCACAAGCAGGGAACTGACAGCCTGCTTTGCAACTGCAAAAATTATTAATTTCTTCCTCACATTGTGTCATTATTTTACAATTCGCTTCTGAGCTTTCTAAGTTGATTTCCAGAGAGTCATCCCCGCTGCATCCCAAACACTGGCTCTGGTTCCCGCCTGGCAGGGCCCCCGCGGACTCCTCCTGGGAATCCAGCGATGTCTGAGCGCTCTTCTCCATCCCAGATTTCTTTAGCCTGGGGAGGAATTTTCCAGACTCCAGCTCTGATTGTCCATAGTAATGGCCTTCTTTCTCTGCATCTTCTTCCAGGGGTTTGAGATCTGCTTGTGGACCTTCAAATGCATCGACCTGAGAAGGAACGGGAATAATTGCTTCGTCTTTCTCAGATTCAAACTCCGACTCGCTTCCTCCTCCTGGGGACAGTTCAGATGCAGAAATTGGGCGAAAGTGAGTCCGAGGAGAGATCCGAATAGCCCTGTATTGCGTTCTGTCAACGCCACATATCCTGGGGTGAAAAACTTCACTGTCTGAATCAGAGCAGAGGATTGACTTCGGTTTAAAACTAGGGCTGAAAGATGCAATCCCTTCAGGTTCAAATGAACATTCTACGTGAAGAACTTGTGAGAATGGATTGTTTAAGTCGAAGGAAGAGAATGAATATTCAAGCCCAGGATCTTCAACTTGAAAGTTACCACAAGCTCCTAGTAAGTCTTCATGGAAGACAAAAGAAAATCCCTTATTTAATCCGTTTTCCCCACTCTTCGGCTGGTCATTCTGTTCAAATGACACAAAGGGTTTCCATAACTGCCTGTGACCCGGAGCGAAGCTGTTTCCCGGGGTCATGAAGACATCTGTGCCAGCTATCGTCACCACATCCGAGGCCGCGCACTGCAGCAAGCTCCCTCTGGCGTGCCCGGGGGGCAGCACCGCCCATTCCCCGTCGCTGCTGAAGGTTTTCAGCTCTCCGTAGACGCCTCCGAGAATGAAGGCGTTCTCCTTCTCCTGGGCCACACCCCAGGGCCTAGAGGGGGTGGTGTAGTCCCCGCCATCCGCCTCGGAGAGCTCGCTGGGAGCGAAAGCTCTTTTCTCCAGGTTCTCGCCCTGCCCCTCCCACAGGTGATACTCGGATCGCTGCACGGCCTTATTCGGCTCCTCAAGGGGCTCCGCTTTAGCTTCAGTATCCAGGCAGCAGCAGTAGTTACTCACATCTGTCGAAAACAGCTCGTCGGCGACTCTCTCTACTTCTACCATAGCCACGGACGAACCGTCGGCCATCTTCGTCCAGATGTCTTTCATGACCCCTGAGCTGTAGCCGCCTCCACGTGGACTGCCCTCGCGACACACTCGTGTAGTTTCAAAGGTTTTGTTTTCTGTTTTGTGTTCTAGCTGAATACCACAGACAGATTCTAGTTTAGATTTTTTTTTGAAAACTAACGTAGGAATTTCTCCTAAAGTTCTACTGTTTTGCTGGCAAGTTTCATCTTGCAAAAAATCTAGAAGTTCTTCATCTACATAATTTGACGAGACTCTTGGGACGACATAATTCATATCTTCTGCATTAAACTGCGTGGATTCTTCAAACTGAATATTTAACGTCTCGTTGTCTGACCGTGTTTCTTCTGAATGGGACCATGGACTACAGGTTCTTGTTGAAAGATTAGAACAGTGTTCGTTTTCTTCAAAGGCACTATTTCTGGTCCATATTAGCAACCTGGACTGTGTTTTCCCAAGCATGTTCGCACTAGAATCTGTATTTTCAGTTCCCAAGTTGAGTGTTTCAAAAGAAAATGGTAAAACAGAATTACTGCATTGCACTTCAAACACTGAAAAACAAGAGTTTATACCAGATCCTTCATTAATATCTGAAAAGAGCTCTTGATTGCCAGCAAGCAGATGCGGACTGAGGGCCGCGCTGTCTAAGATGGGAGACAGCCGAATCGGGGAGTCGCCCCCGAAGCTCTCCCCGTCGGCGTCGCCGGAGCTGGCCGAGCGGCACTCCCAGAGCCGAGCCAGGCCGCCCGGGTCCTGGCGCAGCAGCCCCTCGGCCCCCGCAGGGCGGCCTGGGTCTGTCCATATTGCACGTTCCCCTTGCAACTCCGTCCCGTCTAACACTATGCAACATTCTGCCTCAAAGTCTGTTTTCTCTTTGCTTTTTTGTCGAATCATATTCAAAATCCGACTTTCTCCTTGCATTGTTTCTGAGGCACCAGGATCCAACATGGATTGGTCAATATCCACTTCATAGAAGTGGGTTAATTCTGACAGATGAATATCATCCAAGTACTTGCTGTCCTCCGGGAGAGAACAGAACGAGGTCCCAGTGAGGTCGAGCTCCTCATCGATGACCGCAGGCATCTCTACAAAATGACCGTCAATGAAAGTGCCTGCTGCGAGGTATGTTTTATGAATATTACTGTTGCTGATACAAAGACCATGCACTGAGTCAGACAGCCCCTCCACCGCCTCTGCCATCGGGTCGTGCGCATCTTGTCTGTTCCGGTAGGTGGTCTCTAGCTTGCTTTTCCTGCTCAAAGGAACAAAATACTCCGCAATCGGCTCCGTGTACCACAGCGGCTCCTCCTTGTACTCCTTGTCGTTCCTGCCGTCCAGGTACAGGTCTCTCCCCTCAGCGCCGTCCGTGTCCCTCCTGCCCGCCTCCTTCAGCGGCCGCTTGGCCCGCCTGCACAGCTGTCTGCCGGAGCCGACGCTGCCGCCGCCGCCGCCGACGCCCGCGTGGGTGTTCCTCTCGGCCTTCTCGCCGTGCTTCAGCGCCAGCCGGCTCTGCCCGTTGCGCCCTTTCCTGTTTCGGATTTCTCGCGCCTTGTGCCTCACTTTCACACACTTCGCAGACGCCTTCGCCTCCCCCTGGTTGCCACTGGAGCTCGAGCCTGCCTCACTGGAGCCGGAAGACCAGGAGCGAGGGCGGACCTTTCCTTCGGGCTTGTGTCGGATCTGCTTTCTATACGAAGCAGGCTTTTCTTCCATCGGGCCGTTGCTGAACTTGTTCTCCTGCTCGCGTTTACTTCTGCTCGGGGTTTTCTCGTGCACGGTGGCGGGCGCGTCATCGCTTCGGTCCCTGTGGGCTTCGCCTTCACTGGTGCAGTCCTTGGGCGATGGCGTGTCTGTGCTGGCCGGCGGGGCTGTGGATGACGACGAGGAGCTGGAGTAAGAGCAGACCTTAGACTTGTTCCACACAGTCATGATCTCTTGCAGGCAGACTGGCTTCTCGGAAAGCGGTGGAAATGCTTCGTAGTACCTGAAATAGGGCGTAAAGAGGTCAGGAGTGCGCACTTAGCTGTATCAGAAAAACAAAAACATTACCAACTGGAAGAAGGAAATGTTTCATTTCAACAGCCAGCGAATTATTAACTTTTAAACAATTACTAATACAGTAGAATGTCCTTTACGTGTAGGCCAATGTACCAAGCACTGAAATAAGCATTATAATATTAACAAAATATGTAAAATGAGTTTCTATCTTCAAAATCTGAATTTTAATTAAGAAGCCATAAGTAAAAAATACAATGTTGTAGGAAAAAAAGTAGTATTTTGATAAGGGACATCTGAATTTCATTCCTGGCTCTGCCACTTACTATGCTTGTGACTTTAAGTTCGTTATGTAATGTCTTGGTCCACATTTTCTCAGCTGCAAATAGCGGTCCTATGACTTGCCTCGTGAGCCTTGTGGGCACTGGACGTAGATGGGGAGACACTGCAGAGCCACGTAGCGAAAATATAAGCTCTGAAGCTACACTTCTTGAATTCGAACCGACTGCCACTTTCTGGCTGGGTGACCTCAGGCGTGTTCTTACCCTCTCTGTGGCTCGGTTTCCCGACCTACACAATGGGGGCAGTAACAGTATCTGCCTCGGAGAGCCGTGAGGCGCAAAGGAATTAATATGACAAACGGGCCATAAACAGCACCGCGTCGTCGCTGTTACTCCCCGCCGAGGCACTGCGGAGGCCCTCAGAGACTGCGCTGCTCCCGCGCTAGTGAGGCCTAGAGCCACCAGAGCACGCAGGCCGCAGGGAGCCTCGAAGTTCCTCGAAGTTCCGGGCACCGGGCGGAGGGTGAGCGCTGGTTGGGAGGTGCAGCACCTGACCGGTGAGCAAGGACATGAAGCCACACTCGGAACAGGGACCAGGCCAGCCCTGTGACTCCTGGAAACGCGGAGCGGGAAGGCCAGGGGCTGGTTCCAGAGGGCTGGCAAGCAGGGAAGGCGAGTTTCCCGTTTGCTAGGACACCAGGGGCCACCGAAGGCTGCGCAACAAGACAGACTGCCAAAGGGAGGATCTGGAGTCAGGCTGGCTACCAAGGGGACTGTCAGTCCGCATGCCACAGTCAAGGTCACAGGCAAAGTAATGAAAGGCCGCACTTGCAGAGACTCTCCTTCTCCATGTGTCCCCGGGTTACCTGATGCAAATACATATTGTGTGCCTCCTGTGAAATTTTAATGTGGGAGGAGTCACCTTAAAAGTGTAAGTAAGAAACAGCCCTGGCTGGTGTTGCTCAGTGGATTGAGCACCGGCCTGTGAACCAAAAGGCCACCGGTTCGATTCCCGGTCAGGACACATGCCTGGGTTGCGGGTCAGGTCCCCAGTTGGGGGCACTCAAGAGGCAACCACACACTGTTGTTTCTCTCCCTCTCTTCCTCCCTTTCCTTCTCTCTAAAAACAAATAAATAGAATCTTTTTTAAAAAGTATAAAAAACAGGTGAAATTAATTCCAATAAGATATTTTACTTAACCAACTATAACCACGATAACATCATTTCAACAGGTACCTGATATGAAAAGATATTAGTGAAATAGCTGACATTCTTTTCCATACTAAGGCTTTGAAATCGGGTGGGACTTACACTCACAAGATGTCTCAGGTTGAAGTACCCACATCTCAAGGGCTCCGCAGCCACACCCAGCTTATGGCCACCAGGCTGGACAGCGCAGGCTTATGCCAACCAACCAAGTGCTACTTTTTCCCTTGGGTTTTAGAGGCTCAGAAGATTCAAATAAAATATATAACAAAGAAGTCTACTTACAATGCAGCTGATTTTAATACTAACCATTTACAAAGGAAGGGCTAGAAGCACCTCTAGCAAACAAGTTTGACCAGGTCAGTGACTGGCGCCCATTCCCTTTGGAATCAGCAGCGGGCACTTGGCTTCCTGTGTGTGAAGCATGGAGAAGCGTAATTTCTTTCCCTTGTCTCAAAGGACACAGGTGAACCTCAAAGGCCACAGGACATGAATGGGCTGTAAATAATAACCTCGCTTGGTTCATACAATCCCTGCACAAATATTGATTCAATATGTATATGAAAGATAGAAACATCTTTTCACCTTTGAATTCTGTGTCAAGTACGTAACTGCGTGCTCAATAAATGTTTCTGGAATTATAAAATATGAAACTACACACAACGGACAAAACCTGTAAACCATGCAGCGATTACTAGTCTGATTTTAACAAGCAGGCATCCTCAGTACGGACGCAACGTTACGTACATTTCCACTCGATCCTTTGCTGTGGGGGACAGTCCTGCCTCTGGAGATGGGGACCCCTCTAACTTCTTGTGAATCTTCTCTTCTGTTATGAAACAAAAATTCAGAAAGATCTGTCATGTTTTCAAAAGTTTACCAAGTAACTTCAACAAAAATTTTATAAGCTTTTGTGGCTTAAAAAGAACTCTATAGCAGTGTGTCTTTTTAACGAGACTATTTCTCAGCGCCAGCAGGAACTCCGCGGCCGCGCCCGGGAGTGTGGCTGAGAGGTGGGCGTGCCCCTCTCATGCGACCCAGGGCTCTAGGGGTGCGTTGCCGAGACACTGCGCGCCCCTGCGCACTTACTAATTACACCAGGGGGAGTGAATACCTGTTTAGATTCCAGAAATATTTCCCCACAAAATTCTGCACTCATGGACTTTTAAACCGACTCACCTTAATGAATACTATCCTGATCTGCAAAGAAAATTCTTAATCACAATTCACACTCTGTTACAGCCAGGTGACCAAGGGCTGTGTTTTAACTGAAACAGAATCAAAGGGCCGCATCCTTAGCTGAGCTCAGGATACTGACTGGGATTACCAACCCACTGACCACCGCGCCCTTCGCGGGACGGCGCAAGGCCTGGTGGGGAAAACAAGCATAAAAAGGACAAGGAAAACAAGGGGCCTTCGTCTCAGCCCGTAGCTCCCGTTCTGAGGGCCCGCAGAAAAGGTGGGGCAGGTGCTGGGGGGTGGTGAGTGGACCTGCCTTCCCCAAGGACTTCGACAGCCCAGGCAGCGGGGCCTCCGACCCTGAGGCGCTCGGCGCCGACGCCTCTGGGAGCCTGAGTGTCACGGGCAGGCGTCAACAGGGGCAAGAGGATGGGAAAGAGCCTCCATCTGAAGACAGAGGAAGGGAACGGCTCCTCCCTACACGGGGATGTGAAGTAACGCTCTGTGACAGCAGTGGCTCCACCCCAGGCGGCTGCGGGGCTGACCTGTGCTGGCCGGGAGATGGCCGCGGGCCGCAGAGGCCGGACGCCCGCCGCGGCAGCTGTCGCGCAGCCCTGAGCCCCCCGCCCCCCGCGCAGTGCCCCCCGGCCGCCCTCACCTTGCTTGCTCTGCAGGTCTTTCAGCCGGGAGCAGAGCTCCTCCACCAGTGTCTCGATGCCGGAGCTCTGCGGGGGAGAGACACACAGGGCTCACTGCCAGGCGTGCGCAAAGTCAGGGGCACGCTTTTGTTTTAATATAAAGATTCTATGAATAAACTAATTTTCCACGTTCCAAAAGAAATCCATTATCAATATTTAAATGAACACAAGAGTTTGAAAATTACACGTTCATAGAGCCCATTCAGTATACATACTCAGTTCTAATTAAGTGCGTTCAATGGCACCTACCCCCAAAATGGCTTCTGTCTTCCCAGGGTACAGCCATTAGCCAATGGGCCCACCTGAGCACCAAGATGCCCATCACGTGATTGAAAGACACCATCTATTCACGACCCGCATCAGCAAGGTCTTGGACCAAACTCAACATAAGGAAAAACCACGAGGAGCTCCCTCGAGTCGTCAAGGAGCTCACGGCCTGAAGAAAACAGGTGGTTTTCCTTTCCTACAGCGAGCACTTGTGACCGCAGCAAGGCACGTGCGGCACAGGGGGCAGGCCGCCCGCCGGCCTTGTGTTCCCACAGGGGCCCTGGTGGGGCACGGACGGGGCTCACCGGCCTCTATGAGAAATGGGGTACGACCGAGGGAGAGCCTGGGAAAGAGCCTGAAACTGGGAGCGTAGGGAAAAGAGCCCACCTTTAAAGAAGAAGGAATGTTGGAAACAGGCACAAATAGTCTTTTACTTATGTAGACTTTTAAACTTTAAAAATTCTCCATTTCTAACAAGAAGAAAGAAAAATGTTTTACAATGTATCAGAAAGAGCAAACGTATTTTTGAGCAGCCTTGTCCTTGTTCAGGGGCCTTAGAGCATTCACAGGGGGCCTGAGTCTCTCTAGGTGGGCACCACTGGAACAGGTGCTCATGCCTGTGCTCCGCCGGCTCCCTCCTGGGCCCTGCCGGGCTAAAAATAGAGCTTCGCCCCACTCGCTTAACTCAGTGACTCAGCACAAGCGTTACAGATACCCTAAGCAAGCACGGGGGGCCCTTACACCCTTTGAGCAGCAAGAAACAGACCCCAATGACAAGGGTTAATTGTAAACAACCATAGTTACATTCTATCCACATCAAACCACAGCTTTTACTAGAGAAACAGGATGGGGGAGACAGGGAAATGGCCCAAAAGAGAGCTGTTCTTCCCTCTCAAACACTCGTAACAACCAAGGCAGCGACTAGTCACGAATAGCGCTCTGGCCACACAGCCCCGTCGGAAAGGCTCTGCTTACCATGGCGCTCGAGGTGGGGTGAGGACGGCCGTTTTATTCCACTTCCTCCCGACCATGAACCTAACACCAGTGTCAGCTGACGTGTTCGCTGCTGCGTGCTGCTCTGTGCACCAGCCCGTGTCGCTGTGTTCCTGAGGCCGGTGCCAGGGCTGGACTCCGGGCCTAGGGGACTGCTTCCCCCCTTCCTCCAGGACTAGGGCGGCCGCCGCGCCACAGCCGGCGTGGCAGAGCCAGCACCCAACCCAGGGGCGCGGCGGCCCTCCTCGTGCTCCGCTGTGGGCATCACCTCCACACAACTGCAACACGCAGTTGTCCTGGACCGTAACACAAGGCAAAGTGCATGTGTTTGCTCTCATGTACACATGGCAAAGAAACGATGGCCTCCTTCACTCTGCACATAGAAGCAAGCTCTACTCATCAGGCTCCTGTCTTCCTCGTCTACTGCAGCACCCTTGTGTATAAGTGTGTGTGTATTTATTTACACATATATTTTTAAGTCATTAAACCCTTGGGTTATCATAACAGCAAAGTAAGAAGCAGCAACGGCATCAGAAGCAGCCGTCGGCCCCTATCACCTCCTGGCAGGCTCTCCTAATTGTTAACTCGGGGCTGTTGACGAAAGATTTTACTTGCTTTCTCAATTATAATATAAACTATTAGGTAATCTTAATAATCACATTTTTATAGTTACCATATCCACAGGGCATTGAAGAATACTGAGAGCCTACAGCGTCTTAACAAATAAAATAAACTATTCCCCTACTTTAGTGAGAATGAGCTGTAGGTAGAAAAAACAGTACTAACATTTTACCGCTTAACTCGACTCGCCTTCTCTCACTTATAAGTAGGACAGTGCCCCCTTCCCTCCAGCAGCAAACGCGCGCGACGCCACACAGCCCAAAGCCCCAAACCTCAGGTCGCAGCACTCCGCGGACGTGAGCGAGTGAGCGGCGAGCACAGGGTCCGTCCAGCAGCAGCCTTCCAAACGCACCATCACTTGCGGCCTCAGTCCCTTGGTCCCTCGGCCGGCAAACAGGGGGGCAGGCGCATCCCCAGCGCATCGGGCGGACCCAGGGAACAAGGTCCCTGCCCCCAGCACCCGCGCTCGAACTCCCACTTCTCCAGGGGGTGGCCGAGCGGGGTGTGTCCCGACCCGGGCTCCCCCAGGCCCGGGTCTGAATCCTGCCCGACCACGGGCTCGCGCGCCGGCAGGGCACATATGCTGCTTGTCGTCTCCAGACCAAGAGGGGCCTGTGCTTTGCCGGTGACCAGAGGCCCCACCTCTCCGTCGCCTTGCTCGCCCCGCACCCCACTTGGCCCCATGGAGACCCGCGGGGCGCACGCTCTGAGCAGGACAAGCACACCAGCAGACGGCCTCTCACCTAACCCCCGCCCCACACCGCCCAGCCCCACCAACCCCGGACACACGTCGCCAACTGCCTTTTCAAAATCCCTACTTAGCTCTTTCATAGTCTCTCACGTGCAAGTCTTATTCACACACCCCCCACCCCCCAGCCACCCCCCAATCGGTGCTCCTTCCCTCATTGCCTGTTTCTCAGGAAATGATGATCCTGCTCTTGCTGCTGCTCAGGCCAAACACCCTGCTGTCTCCCTCCGTTCCTCCCGTCCCTCCCTTTCCCCGCATCCAGCCCTGTCAGCTCCCCACCGCGGACACAGGCGGACCCCCTTGCCCCCAGACCCCAGCAGCAGGACCCCCTGGACTACTGAACAGCTTCTGCACCCTGCCATCTGGGCCGCTCTGCCCCCCCGCCCTGCCCCCACCCTGGGCCTGGCTAGTCTCCTGAAGCAGCCAGCAGGGTCCTACAGGTCGCACTGCCCTCTGCTCCAAACTCTGCAGCCTTCACGCTTCGCAGAGGAAAAGCCAAAGGTCTCCCTGAATGGCCCAGCTGCATCTGCACCCAGGAGACGGGGAGACGGAGCCCAGGCTTCCAGCGAGCGGGCTGTGAGCAGAGGGGGCGGGGCACTGTTAGCAACGGTGGCCGTCGGCTGCTCGGGGCCTGGCCTGTAGAGGGAGTACCGCGCACACGGAGCACCAGACAGGCACCACGTCTGTTCAGCGCTCAGTGAGTGATCCTTATCACTGTTTCGATGCTCTCGTTATCACCCAGAATGAAGAGCATTCAAATATCAGTGTGCAGAGACACAATGACTGTGTATGGTCATAACTACCCTGGGAAGCCCACTCCCTGAAATACCCGACGTGGCTTCTGTGGGGACAACCCTGCCTGGCATATGAGCACCACGGGTGTGACACGGCAGGGCTGCTTGCGCGCCTGCACCGGCCGGGTGAGCCTGGCCGGGGGCTCGGTGGGAACACGGGCCACTGCAGCGAGGCCCGCCGGGCCCGAGTGCGGGCCCTCGCTAAGGTCCTTGCCGCGGGCGGCGGCCGGGCTGCACCAGGGCCACCGGCTGCAGAGCCAGCTCCGCTGCAGTGCGTTACTGCTGCGCCCTCTCTCTACTCGCTCCCTGGACAGGGTTTTGGGTCTTCCAGCCACTCCCAGAGTGGGGGATGAAATCCTAGTTTTGATTCTGTTGTAAGGAGCACAATAAAAACAAAATAGAAAGATAACTAATTATTAAAAAACAAAACAAACATTACAAAAAGCTCTAACTCTGGGGATAGAACAAAACCAAGCAAACTTGAGGACTCAAAAAAAAACCCAGTTGGCACAATTCAACATTCTGTTTTATGATTTTTAAAGGGGAGAAAGAGAAGTCTGGATATATTTAACAGCATCACACACGCAGCGTGTCTACTGAAAACAAACACACAGTGTGGGGAAAGCGGCACAATAAAAAGCGGCCACCTGGGGGCGGGGGCTGGGTCAGGGCGCCACGCCTCCCCACAGGCCTCGTTTTGTACTGCAGACAAAGCAAGTGCAAAGCCCGCGGCAGACCGCGAACGCCCAGAGACCCGCATGTTAGGTATAGCCGTGAACCAAGGGAAGCAGCAAGCACAGCGCCCGCCAAGGCCACGATCTCCGAAGGCGTGAACTTCAACTGCTCGCAGACCTTTACGGATGAGGACAAACTTTAATCGATGCACCTAAAACCAAGTTTGGGCACACCTGAGTCCCCGTGCCGTTTCGGCAACACCCCTCAGATGCAATGCTGAGCGGGCCGGGCCAAGTCGGGCCGTCCGGCGGGTGCAGCCCGCCACCAGGGCAAAGCGGAGGCAGAACCCCACATCGCAGGCACGCACCAGGGAACTGGACAAGCGAGCCTTCCCGCCGCCGCCGCCGCCGCCGAGGGACAGCAAGGAGCCCGCTCCCACAGGGGCTGTGGCGCGGCACCTGCAACAGTCACACGCGCACCATGGACATGATGGAACCGGATTCAGTCTGGTGTGGCACGGTCACCTCTACCCGCTCACCTGCACTGCCTGTTCCACGGTCCTGTGATTAGGTCACTGGCACTTGAGTCAATTAGGCTGTAAACTTGTTCATGGCTTTTGACTTGGACCATTTGATAGTGACTATAAAGAGTTGCCTCTGGACTTGGAGGGAAAGAAAGCTGAGCACAGAACCACAGGCGTGACAATTCTCAGCGCTTAGGACAGGAACAACACGCCCATATGCAAACATTCACTGAGGCCAAAACAAAACTTTTGCATTATAATCTCTTGTGTAGGGTCTCTTTGCTCCTTTCATGGAAGCCACTAGGCAGATTCCAGAGAGCCTACAACTGGTAACTGACCAGTGATTCCTTTTTACTGTTTTAGGCCACTGTTAAAGAGGCCTGTTTCAAATTCTCTCCACTGGACCCCCAAGAGCCGGGAGAGCTGGCTCAAGGGCTCTGCGGACCGCAGTCTGGGACCCGGGGTCCGGGCCTCGGCACAGGCTGCTGCTGGCCGCTGGGGCAGGGCTGGCGGGCTCCCCGCGGCTCCCCTACTCCCCGAGCTCTCACCAGGCTCCCAGCACACCCCCGGCACGCTCTGTCCTCAGCCGATTTTAGTAAGAGGTAAAACACCACCACTATTAGGAAAAAACAATGCAACCTTTTTATAAGAAGGAAGTGATAAGCTAGGACAAATATGTTTCACTGAGTTCGAAAACAAAAATCCCACCTAGACAGGCAGGCAAAGGAAAGCCATTTCCCAGAGCAGCCATGCAAAGAACCAAAGAGCGTCACAAGCCACGGTCCCAGCCTCGCGCAGTTCGCGCCTCCCCACAAACTCGCCCAGCACATGGCGGACAGCGCAGCGGCGGGGCCCGGCGTGGCTGTGACCGGGTGCCTGCGCGCCGCACTTTCACCAGGGGCCGCAGCGGCCTTGTTCTCCCTCAGCTGCGCCGAGAGTCAAAGGCCAGTGTCATTTTCTCAGCGACTCGGGCCCAAAGCCAAAGTAAGATCCTTTCCCGGATGGAAACTCCCTACTCGTATTTTCCTCCCAACCATGACTCAGCAGCTTCTTGGGATTCGCTCAAAGAATTTACCTGAACTAACCCCTCCACCTTAAAAACCACCTGCGCTCTGAATTCCTTCAAAGCTCCAAGGGATTTTACGGACCGGCTGACTCAGTCCCCGTAGAAAACGTCTTCGGGTGACTGTCCGACCGCCCCCTTCTCTCTGAGGATGGCTCACTACTCGCTGCTCCTGCTGTGCGACGGGACCCTCAGGCCACGGGCCCCCTCCTCGCGGCTTCTCAAACCTGGGGGGGCCTGGCCGCCAGCTCTTCTTCCTGCACGGAGTGGCCCTGTGGGGCCACGACCGGCAGGGCCCTTCTCCGCCACCCAAGTGCCGAGGCTGAGGGAGCCAGGGCCGGGGTGCGGGGGGGCGACCCGGAGGCAGAGAGAGGTGCAGACGAGGGGCTGCAGGCCATCGGGGGGACAGCCGTGGTGCCCCCGTCCAGTGCAGGCCGCTCGGAGGCCGCCACCGTTCCCGCGCTTGGCTTCAGGGAGACGCCCCACACCTCTGGGTACAGCCCCATCTTTTCTTAAGTGGCGTGAGGTACGCTGCCGCTCTCCGTAACAAAGTGGTGCCCGACTAAGGAGCCCTACGAGTGGTGACTTCCAACCCCTGCCCCAGAGTCTGCGAGGCAGCAGCTTCGCGGGGTCGGAGGCTATAAACTGGGGGCAGAGGGAGGAGGACAGTGGGGAAGGGAAGGGACAGCCCCTTAACCAGCAAGCGCTCGATCCCATGGAAGAGAAACTTGCACCCTCTGTGTGATGGGCGCCCGCTCTGCTGGGTACTAGGAGGTGAAAAGATGGGCAACTCGCGTCCTGGCCCCAGGAGCCGTCCCATGGGGTGGGGGGGCAGGAGCGAGCAGCTGCAGTCCCGGCTGGGAGGGCTCCCCCGCTGGAGGCACCACACAGGCCCCAGGGCGCCCCCCGCAACCCCCCAGTTCTGGGCAGGATGAGAGCGCAGCCAGGCAGTGCTGGGCAGACTGTGACAGGCTCGGGGGCCGGGCGGCGGCCCGCAGGTCGACCTCTGGGTTACCGAGGGTGCCAGCGACCCGAGGGCAGCCCGTTAGCTCGCCGCGCTCCGGACGAAGCTTCCGGAGGCGGGGACTCTCCAGATGCCCGGTGTGACCCCTCTCCGTTTACCTTGGCGTTACAAAGGCACTGAAAACGACTCTAGCACGAGTAGAAGGGTAAAAGCAAAACAAAAACAATTTTCTAAGTATTAGTACTGATCTCAGAGATTACACTTCATAGTGAGTAATAAAATAATTCATAGTGCTTAGATAAAAGATTATATTCTGAAACTATTCTGCTATTTCAGGATGCTGAGAAACATGAGAAATATTTTATATGAAATGTTAAAATGTTAGGATGGCTGCCCCACTTCTAGGAATGTCTCCAAAAGAAATAATATGGGCTATGGAAAAAGCAAAGTGTGAAAATATCCCCAACAGTATAACAGAAAGTCAACAGCAAGCTAAGTATCCAGCAATAAGGACTACAGTATATTGCTGTTAGAATGTTATTTGATGAAAAATAACTTAGTATCTAAAAAGAATAAGGATGATATATTAACAAGATGAAATATATATTAAATAGGAAAAAAGGACATAAAGTTTTACATATACTCTACTTATAATGATACATATAAAATATTGCATAAAACTATATATATGTGCATACATACATTTTATTTTCTGTTGATTTTATATATATACATGCACACGCACACACACACACATATATATAAAAATACCTTAAAGGAAAAAGAGATGATGTTTATGTTAAAGTGGTAAGATAATGAGTAGTTAGTTTTTCTACGTTTTTTTGGTCAAAATGTTGTATTTGTAAACTTTTTTTTGCAGATTTTATTTATTTGAGAGAGGGGGGAAGGGAGGAAGAAAGAGGGAGAGAAACATCAATGTGTGGCTGCCTCTTGCACACCCCCTACTGAGGAACTGACCAGCAACCCAGGCATGTGCCCTGACTGGGATTTTGAACCAGAGACCCTTTGGTTCACAGGTCAGTGCTCAATCCACTGAGCCACAGCCAGGGCATATATTTGTAAACTTTTTAAAAACGCCCTCCCCTGCTTTTTCTCCTCTTAAGTATTAGAAATAAAATGACAACTTACTTCGTCAGAAGCAGACCGAAGACACTGGACAGCAGCCTGTTTTTTCATTTCTTCCAGAGTGAGATCTGAGCCCTTTTTCTTGCTCTTCCCCCATTTCTTGTAAGCTCCCTTCTCCCAGCCCAGGAAGATGTCATTCTCCTGCAGCGAGATGGAGACATTGCCGTGAGCAAGCAACAGGAGCAAGTTTCAGACACCGCTCTTTCCCACGCGCTTCCAGCCACGCCCCCAGCCACGCCCCCCAGCACGCCAGCTCGCGCGACAAGCGCACCGAGGGACTGCCGGGCACAGACCTGCCAGTCGGAGCCCCTCGGGGCCACCCGCACGCCTGGACCCTGTTACTGAGATTGCTGATTATTTATGATCTTAATAAATCTGGCCCACCTATATTCATAGTGAATGCTAATAAACAACTCAGACATTTGTATGTAAACTTAAGTATTATTTAAATTTCAGTATGAGTCCAAAACTATATACGCAATTAAATGTCTTCTCTTCTATACTTTCCAGGATTTAACAATTAAATGATTAAATCTCTATATGTTGTAGTCTAAAAAAAATATAAAATATTTTATGTTAGTATTTAAAGTTTATTTCCCCCTTGATTTTATAGGCCCATGATAAAAATCTGAGGCGCATTTGAAAGGTGGGAAGAAAGCAAGCACACTGCCCTCAATGACCCCCCGTGGCTGCCAGAATGGCTTGGTCCTGGTCTTTTTCTTCTGCTTTAAAACACACAATTGGATTCACAGTCTTTGTACACATTTTGTACTTGATTTAACTTACATATTGTGGACATTAGCCCTGTGTTACTACAAATTCTTTGAGTGCATAATATTTCAAGATGTTAGGTTTACTTAATTATTTCCCTAGACTGGGACGTTTTCAATTCAGTATTTTTAATCGTGTTGCTACTTTGTTTTATCGTTTAAAAACCCTTTATTTGATAAATTATGATTAAAACCAGTGGACAGACAACAAGGAAAAAAAGAAGAAAGAGACAGACAGCGGTGAAATTAAGAAGCCCCGTGACGGGCGCTCGGCCGCTGGCCGGCCCTCAGGGAGGGGATTCAGATGAACGAGAGAGGGGAGAGAAAACAACAAAACGACTTGTTCAAAAGATTTTTAAGACCAGATCATACCCACTTACCCCACTTTTACTTTAATCCAGTCCATAAAGCTGCTTTTAAGCGACCAGAAAAGAGCGCAAGAAGGGTCCTTCCTCCCCCTACGCGCCATCACTAGCACGCCTGTGGCTTCATTTCGTAGGTGCGTTTGCAGATCTAAGGAACGTGGACGTGTGTTTCCTGGCCGAGCAGTGTCAAGGCCACTGTCCAAGGGACAGTGTGCCTGGTAGCCAAGGGAGGGCTACAGTGTGTTCCCCCTTCTTGAACGCGTGTCAGGGGCTGGCCCCTGAAACTTGACGCTGCTTATCGGTGACATCGCCTGGAGACAGGGCTCGTCCTTCCACAGGAAGAGAGGACAGAACCAGAACAGTGTAGATTCAAAGCTTCTGAAGACAGGAACATAACCCTCTCTACTGTTCATCGTGTATAAAACAAGGGAGAAAAGGTATCTAATTATTGAAAACAAGCCTCTGCTCTGTGTGAGCTGCTGAGCTGCTCTTTCTCTGTCCCGAGCATCACACGCACGTTTCTCCACCGAAACTACGCTCCAGCTTGGCAGAGGCAGCGCACATTCAAAGGCCCTAACACAGCTTTATCACGTACACAGGACTTTCAAAATTCAGGGGACACGGTCAGTCCCTCTGGAGGGCAGTGTGACGATGCATCCCAAACATCTGACACATGTCCATGGACTCGCAAGCCAATGATTCCACTTCTGGGAACGCACCCTAAGGGAAACAGTCCCTGAGGCGCGTGCAGCTTCCGCTACAGCGATGGCAGCCCTGTGGAAGCAACTACGTGTCAAAGGAGGAGGACTTGGTTAGGTAAGTTTCGTTCATCCAGCTGATGAGACACTATAACCATTAAAGAGATTAGAAACATATTTATTGGCATGGAAAGCTATCCACAATATGTATAAGCAAAATAGATCACACAACAATATAATCTCATGTTTGGTTAAAATACACACACACACACACACACACACACACACACACACACACCCCTACTAGGCACTTAAAGGTCTGAGAAAACTGTACAAAAAGGTTGCTGGAAGCTTTCATGGTAGGTGTAGGGTACTATGGTTTTTCTTGTAATTAAGTCATACTCCTTTAACAGTCAAATGATTTGTGTGTGTGTGTGTGTGTTTTGTAATCCTCACCTGAGGATGTTTACTGATTTTAAAGAGAGAGGAAGAGGGGTAGAGAGAGGGAGGGAGAGACAGACAGACAGACAATTGATGTGAATGAGAAAGCTCGATCGGTTGCCTCCCACACACGCCATGACTGGGGATTGAACCCACGACCTTCTGGCGTACAGGAGAGTGCTCCAGCTGACTGAGCCACCCAGTCAGGTCTTCTTTGTTTCTTCATGGACAACTTTGAAGTCAAGAAGAGAGAAATGAGAAGAGCTCCTGGAGGTCGCCACCAAGTGCAGGTGCCTGGCACTAGCCTCGTGCTTCCTGTCTGGCAAGCCTTCGCCTGTAATGGGTGTATCTGCTCACCCAGCGTCTGTTTCGGCAACTCTTCTGTGGCACCCGGGGCTGTGAGAATGACTACAAGGCTGTCCCTGCCCACCAGAGGTCCACAATCCAGTGTGGAATAAAGATCTGGAGGTCAACGACTGCGGCATGGTTGTTGCTCTTATAAAGGTTTGTGGGAAGCCCTTCGGGAGCACAAGGGGGCATGTTTTTTTCTTGGCCGGGTTGGAAAGTAAAGGCATCCTTCAGAAGGAAGGGTCACCGAGCGGAGCCTCACAGAGAGCATCCAAGTCCAGGGGGAGTGAGAGGTACCGGCGGAAACAATGAGCTGAAGCCCTCGGTAGTGAACCTCTTCCATAAGGACAAAATAGAAAATATTTTAAACTTCATAGATCAAGAGGATATCAAGGGTATAATGTAGGCACTTTTACCAAATAAATAAATGTTCACAACAATTTACTGATGAGATTCAAAACAGAATTCAGTACAATTTTTGGTATCACAGGTCTACTAATGAGAAGAATGAAATTCCTTGGGGTGAGCAAGCTAACATTTGCTTAACCAGGACTCTCTGTCCTCAAAACCAGTAACAAATGTTCATCTGTTCATGCTCATTTTTCAAAATAATGGCTTTGTTGACATATAATTCACATACTATAAAATCTGCCCTTTTAAAGGGTACCATTCAGTGGCTTTTAGAGTAATTCACAGGGTTGTGTGACAATCACCACTATCTAATTTAACATATTTCCGTCTCCCCAGAAGGAACACTGTGGCCGCCAGCAGTCACTGCCCACTCTCCTGGGGAGTCGCCGCCAGCTACTCCCTGCTGCTCTGGGGACTCGCCCACTGCAGGCGCTGCAGGGAGATGGACCGCACCCAGTGCGCTCCGCTGGGTCTGGCAGCTTCCGCTCAGCACGACGTTTGGCAGCTCAGCCGTGTTGTGGTTGGGGCGAGCGCTTCGCTTCCTTCTCTGATGGAATAGCATTCCACTGCACGGGTGCACCTCAGCCTGTTTATCCATCCATCCTTGATGGACATGTGGCTGCTTCCTCCTCTCAGCTACTATGAACAATGCTGCTATAAATATTCCTATACAAGGGTTTGTACGGACATGGTTTTCAATTCCGTCGTATACCCCTAGCAGAAGTGCTGGGTCACACAGTGACTCCATGTTTAACCCCTGAGGAATTGCAGGATATTTTTCAGAGCAGCAACACCATGTTACAGCCCTGCCAGCGAGGTGTGAAGCCCCCACGTTCTCCACACCCTCGCCAGCACTCGCTGTCACCTGGGTTTTTGTCCCACCATCCAAGCAGGTGTGAAGCGCCTTTGCCACTTCCGGAAGACGCGGGGTGCGGGGGCGGGCCTCCGGGCCTCCTCTGCCCGTTGGAAACTGGTCCATCCAGGCCCCCCCCCATTTTTGAAAAGCCTCTCCTGAACACATCTCTCTTATCAGCTACGTGATTTACAAATATTTTCTCCAATTCTGTGGGTTGTCTTTTCACCTTCCTGATGGTGTCCTTTGAAGCACAGGAGTTTCCACCGTGATCCAGTCTAATTTACTGATGCGTCTGCCCTGGCTGCTGGTGCTTTGGGGTCCTGCCTAGGAAACCACTGCCTGACCCCAGTCACAAGGATTTCCTCCTATAAAACATTTTCTTCTAAGTGTTACCGTTTTAGCTCTTATGTTTCGGTCCCTAGTCCATCTGCGTTAATATGGGCATGCGGTGGGAAGGAGTGGCCCGTCTTCGCACTCCGGCACACGGCCACCCTGCTGTCCCAGTGTCTGGTGTCAAAAGGCTGTTCTTTCCCCACTGAAGGTTGGAGACCAACCTGCCATCAACATAAAGGCTTATTTCTAGACTCTCAGTGCCAGAGTGTCTTGACTGCTGGGGCTTTGTAATAAGTTTTGAAATTGGGAAGTAGGAGTCCTCCAACTTTGTTCTTCAAGATTTTTTAGGCTCTTCTGGGTCCCTAACATTTCCATACGCCTGTTAGGATCAGCCTGCCGATTTCTGCAATGAAGGCGGCTGGGACGGTGGCGGACTGCGCGGGCCGCATATCGGTCCGGGCCGCATATCGGTCGGGAGAGCGCTGGTGTCTTAGCTGAATCTTCTGGTCAGGCCCATGGGATGTTTCTCCACTTGTCAGGTCTTCTTTCGTTTCTTTCAGTGACATTTTATATTTTTAGTGCGCAACTCTTCAACTTCTTTTGTTAAACTTATTCACAAGCATTTTAATTCTTTTTGACACTATTATAAATGGAACTTCCTTAATTTCATCCTTACAATTTTCTTTATATAAGACCATGTCATATGTCAACAGAGTTATTTTTAGTTCTTCCTTCCCAATCTGAATGTCTTTTTTCTTACCTAACTGCCCTGATAATGCTGATTCACAATAAGATTTTACATATAGTATTTCACCTTTGAAAATGTCTTCCAACAAAGCTACTGCCAAATGCTGATGTTAGCTCCCAGGCACAAGTTTAACTGAAGATACTAATTCCTAAAAAGCGTTAATAAAGCTCC